ATCTACAGAACTTGATTGTTATATTGTTTCATGCCATGATCCATCATTACAATTTAATTAGGAGGTTTCATGCCTGTCTAGTTCTACCTTCGATTCCCAGCCGATTCCCAGCCTTTAATCCACCGATAATAAATGATCATACGTAACCCCCATTTCTCACATGCAATTCCCGCCTTATGCTTATGTTAACCAATCAGCAACAAGTTTCTTTGTGTATGTATGTATCAACCAATCAGCGACAAGCACACCTGTGGCAATGCTTGTAATATTCAATAAAACAGGCTCCCAGGGTCCGCCCTGGCCAGACGCCTCATGTTGCACCTGCCTCTCTCGTCTCCTGTGATCTTTCATTCTTACAACACACAACTACTACTATAGCAAGCATGATCTCTGTTATGGCTTTAAAAAGGTGTGAGAGAGGGGGAAATGTAGATAAAGTTGCAGAAGAGATCATGGGCAGAGTGGCAGTTCCTGAACACATATTAGCAGATACCCATTGGTCAATTAGTGTAACTACAATATTCTTGGAGATTATCTGTAGACAATGTTGCAACTGAGTTTCACCAAAGAGATTTTGGTCATTCCTGCTCAGGAAAAAGATATGGGGACAGCATTTGTCTTATTGATGGGTGCATTCATCAACTTTTAAAATTATCTTGGAACCTATCCGAAGAACCTGTACAATATTTACCAGAGCAATACCAATTTCTGATAAATACCAAAGCTGACTGCAATAAGAAGAATTTCAGGGGGTGGTTGTCTACTGAGTTTCACACAACCCTATAGAATGTACATGACTTGCAGATCTTCAGCTACACAAGTTTTGCCCATATACACTTTGAGATTTTGGGTGGGGAGCAGCGGACCATCTCTTAAAAGTCTAAATGAGAGGAAGGGCCATAACAAGGGCTAGAACACTTCATTAATATGCATAAGGATCCAGCTTCCATCCCTCACATCTTCAGTTACAAAAGGTCTGAGCCTTGCCTAAGACCTTGCACAGACATTGCCAATCAGAGTAGACTGTACAGGCTAGGCAGGCCAAAGGTTACAGTGTATAGACAGTATAGACAGTAATAACAGGATGCATTTTAAAGGAGAAAAATTGTCTGATTCAGATATAAACTTTTAAGAGATATTGCAGATACAAGAATAACTTCCACATACATGCAAAAAAATGGTTTTGCAAACCACTGACAGGCAGAGCTCACATTTGGTCATTTAGAGAAAGGATTTGTCCATGAGAAAGATATGAATCAGCCACCCATACATCACATGTGTTGAAGTTGAGTGATTTCACAGAGGACAAACAGGAAGGGAATGAGGCTTCTGTAACCTCTCCCCCCCCCCCAATTCCCGCTAACCTTTGCTGTGTTGCTGGCTGCAGCACAATGTTTCCATGCTAGGTCTACCAAGAAGCTTTATTTAGGAAAGAAAAGTGCACGAGCAAGTATACTTAGAAACAAACCCTGAAGCTACTGTTTACAGGTAAGAGAAAGAAAACAAATACAGGTTCCAGCTGTGTGTGGTGGTTGGGGGAAGCAGAAGTCTTTCATGCCTGCTTTTCATTTTTTTAAGAAGGTGAGGAGATTCAGCATGGATTACTTTAGAGAGAAATTAAACAAATACGTTGTTCAGGTCTATCCATGTAAGCTCCATCCTGATAACGGAATTGCCAGGAGCTTCCAGCCTGCTTTAAGTTCAGCCCACCTCCAGTCAATTTGGCTCTTTCTGTGGTTGCTTGGCTGCTCGCTGCCTATTAGATGAAGCTTCAAACTGTTCATTACCCCCTGCCTATTTATGTAAGACACAGCTGTGTTTGTGTCTGACATTATTAAGATGTGATACCTCGTCCGGGACCCTTGAAAAGCTAGAAGAACAAGACAGCTTTAAATTGGGGGGGGGGTATCCAGAATTTGTTTTTATTTCCTTCCCTTTGTTAGCCAGTGCTGTCCTGGAGCATGAGTGTAATAAAGTGGCATGTTTGGAGAGGAATTATGTCACAGTTCTGCAATGCTACCAGAAAACTGTGAAGCAAGTGTGTTGCTGTATCACCTAGCAAAGGAAGGTTCCAACTCTTTGCTGCATAGGGAACTGTATTGCAGTCTTTATGAGACCTACACTTAGGGTCTGGTTTGGGTCTTAAGTTCAAATACATTGTTAACTGGGGGAATATTTTTTGTGGGGGGAATATACTGAGCAGCAGGATTAGGTTTCACCGGTACATTTGCCTGAATGGAACCTGCCGAATATACTCCCCAAACCAGCACACCTTGCTTTGGGTTTGGGAAGGGCAAGTTATCAATCAAGCCTGCTGGAGGTAGCAGGAAGCAAAACCAAAAGGAGTTTTATTTTTGGAGTGTGACAAGAGTGATGCTTGCCTACTCCTTTCTAAGCCAGGGACCAGGGAGGGGGAAGCCATGATGTGTAATAATAATAATAATAATAATAATAATAATAATAATAATAATAATAATAAATTTTATTTATATCCCGCCCTCCCCAGCCGAAGCCGGGCTCAGGGCGGCTAACAACAATCAAATAATCAAACAATCAAATAATCCAACATTCTAAAAATATTTCATTATAAAAATTAATTAAAATCAAGTTGATGGCAACCGTTAAACAAAATTCTGTGCAGGTTGCCAGAGGAGGGAGTCAGGCTGCGCCCTGACCAAAGGCCTGGTGGAACAACTCTGTCTTGCAGGCCCTGCGGAAAGATGTCAGGTCCCGCAGGGCCCTAGTCTCTTGTGACAGAGCGTTCCACCAGATTGGAGCCGCAGCCGAGAAGGCACTGGCTCTAGTTGAGGCCAGCCTAACCTCTCTGAGACCTGGGACCTTCAGGATGTTTTTATTTGCAGACCATAAATTCCTCTGTGGGTCATACCAGGAGAGGTGGTCCCGTAGGTACGAGGGTCCTAGGCCGTATAGGGCTTTAAAGGTTAAAACCAGCACCTTAAACCTGATCCTGTACTCCACCGGGAGCCAGTGCAGCTGGTATAGTACCGGATGAATGTGATCTCGCAGCGAAGACCCCATAAGGAGTCTCGCCGCGGCATTCTGCACCCGCTGGAGTTTCTGGGTCAGTCTCAAGGGCAGCCCCACGTAGAGCGAGTTACCATAATCCAGTCTGGAGGTGACCGTCGCGTGGATCACAGTGGCTAGGTCAGGGCGAGAGAGATAAGGGGCCAACTGCTTAGCTTGGCGGAGATGAAAAAATGCCGCCTTTGTTATAGCTGTAATCTGCGCCTCCATAGAGAGGGAGGTATCGAAGATTACATCCAAACTCTTAACGGACGGTGCTGGCACTAATTGCACCCCCGCAAGAGATGGGAGTTGCCCCCTCAATCCCATATCGTCCTGTCCCAGCTAGAGGACCTCTGTCTTTGAAGGATTTAACTTCAACCGGCTCCCACATAACCATCCAGCCACAGCTTCCAGACATCTGGTCAGTGTGTCTGGGGCCGAGTCAGGATGGCCATCCATCAACAGATAGAGTTGGGTGTCATCGGCATACTGATGGCAACCCAGCCCAAAACTCCTGGGGGCGCATAAAGATGTTAAAAAGCATCGGGGAGAGTATCGCACCCTGAGACACTCCACACACCAAGGAGTGGCGCGATGACAATTCCCCCCCCCAGGGCCACCCTCTGTCCCCGACCAGAGAGAAACGAGCGCAGCCACTGAAGTACTATGCCCTGGATCCCCACGTTGGCAAGGCGGTGGTCCAGGAGTTCATGATCGACCATGTCGAAGGCTGCTGACAGATCTAGAAGAATCAGCAGCCCCGACCCGCCTCGATCCAGCTGCCTGCGGAGATCATCTGTTAGGGCGACCAGAGCCGTCTCGGTCCCATGACCAGCGCGGAAGCCGGACTGGAATGGATCCAGAGCCGATGTTTCATCCAGAAACCTACCAAGCTGTTCAGCAACCGCTCTCTCAATCACCTTACCCAGGAATGGAAGATTCGAAACCGGGCGGTAATTGTGGATGCAATGGTGCCAAGGGATATTCTCCACTACCATTGCATCCACAAGTAGCTGTTTGGAAGGTCTTTTTTGAGTGGTGAAAGGGCTTTTGTCATCTGGCCCAGGAGGCTATTGCTCTGATACCCTCAGAGGCCTTCTGCTACAGTGTTGAAAGAAAAAGAAAACATATGATCTCAATCATGATAAGCAAACTTTAGATCTCCTTTCACCTTAGGTTAATTTTAGTTTCTGAAAGCCAATATATAGGTTGTTGCAATATGCAGGGCTACTTTTTAGTTAATTTTAGTTAATTTTTAGTTATTTTTAGTTAATTTTAATTTTAGTTTCTGAAAGCCAATATATAGGTTGTTGCAATATGCAGGGCTACTTTTTGCCAATGTGCTTATCATGAAATATTTGTCACAAAATTGTTGCAAAATTGTTAAGTTTTAATGGCTGTAAACCACCCTTTGTAAAGGTAGGGTGTAGATTTTCTAACAACACAGTTGCACTCCTTACACAGAAGGAATGTCACAGTGTGTTACGTTACTTTGCCACTTAATTTATACTTCTTTGCATTCACTCAAATTATAGATTTAATAATACTTTTTAAAAAATGTCAACACTGCTAAATAACAAATATTCAACCACACCATATTTATACAAAAGATCCACTTGTAAATTCTACCTTAAGCATCTCTTTCTAGGTTGGAGACCACTAAAAACACTGGCACATGACAGTGTTGCAGATGACTATAACATTTGGAAGTCATGTTTCCTGTGGTTCACCTGGCCACAGGTATATTCTCCACAAAATCATTCTTGACAGCTGCTGGCATTGTTGGGGGGGGTGTCTCCAAAAGATTAAAGCAAATCATGTACAAAATAACTTTCAGAAGATTGCAACTGCTATACATATAGAGTATCATTATGTAGAAGCAGTTTTCAGTGTCCTCTATGTAACATTTGAAGCAACCTTTTGAATTCACAAAGTGGTTATCTGACGCTATACAAATTAATTTGATCAAAGCATCAAGAATACATATTTTATTTATGTGACTTCTTGGCATAGTGCCTCCTGAGCAGGTTACAGCAACATAATCAATCAAGTGGTTATAAAAGAGAAAAACAGTTACAATGGTAAAAATACAACAACAAGTAAAACTGTTCCAATCAAAACAGAAAAGTATGTTGTGGGGGAGATCTCCACAAACAAACAAACATGTCCAAAAGGCCAGGATAAAGAGGTATTTCTTCAGCACATGGCAGAAGCTATGCAATAAGGACAGAGCTGTGTGGGGAAGGAGCTTCACAATTTAGGGGCTGCCACAGAGAAAGCCCTCTCGCAAGCCACCATTCTCCGTACTTCTTAGGGCGGCAGAAATACCAAGACAGCCGCTCCCCTGCCTGAACAGCTCTTAACACCTGTGTGATATGGAAGCATTATATCAGATACTTGGGACCTAAGTCCTTTAGGGCTTTAAACACAAAATTGGAACACATTGAATTAGATCTAGAAACTGACAACCAATGCAGAACTCTAAATGAGCCAAGGCCAATTGAGAGCACAATGCAATAGTCCATTCTGTTGGTTAACAGAGAATGGAGGTCTGTGGCAAAGTCACAAGAGCCCAAGAAGGACCACCTCTGGAAATATGTACTCCTACCCATCAAGGGCACCTGAGCCTCCAGTGACAGCACTGGATCCTGGGGAGTGCAACTCTGTTGATAACAGGATGTCTTCCCATTCCCTGGACTTGGAACATATAATGCCATTGTCTTTTCAGGATTCAGCTTCAACTCACTGACCCATCGACAATTCTTAGATCCATCACATTTGTGTTTATAAAGGAAAGCACAGTATATATTTTTAAATAAATATATGCATTTATCTCATACATCACTTTACATATACCAACCAAGTACAATGTTCATGATAATCCTAAACGGAGTAATGCAATAAAATTTTAATCAGTTTCTCTAGCTGCCCAGATTCAGTGTGTAGCTAGAAAGAAAGATTAAGATTTTCTGTGCAATTCTTAAACCCAAAATATGATTAGCTACTACTGTTCACTGTTTTAATTTAGAATTGAACAATGATTGAAATAGGTACTTTATATGCACAGGCAACAAAGATGCCAGGTACATTTCTAATGCCTTATAATCAAATAGTTAGATATCTTCCAATTCACCTGTTTTCTAGTAATCCAGTAATTTATGGCTTTCAACACAGCATCTAAAATCCGATTATCAGTCTATAAGACTTAAAAACTAAAAAATCATAACTAATGCCAAACAGGCCAGAAAGCAATAGGGAAATCATATGCAAGACATCTGACTTGTGATGCCAAACATAAATCATATTGTCTAAATGAGAAGAAATGTTTTCAGCCAACAATACATGAGACTATTCTTCTTGTGCTTTTTTCAGAGCTATGAGTACAATGTAGCACGTTGGGCAAACTGCCAAGTAAAGCCATCTCACAACATGGAAAGATGTCAAGGATAAAAGAGAGGCAGCAATTCCTCATAGGGAGAGAATAATTCAGAAAGGATCCTTCTCTAATCCTCAGGAAGCAGTAGCTCTGCATGGGGGGAAAAAATAGGACAGCAGATAAAATATTAGCTTCTGCAAAAACCCATTGCTTCCATATTAAGGTGGGCTATATGAAATGTGAAAAGCCATTTGGATGCTTGCCTAAAGGTCTCCAGTCTTATCATCAGAGGCAGCTACCACAGTGAAATATTCCCCTAAATGTCTAAGTGGAAGGTTAAATACAGGCCAGACAGCAGTGTGTGTGTGTATGTGTGTGTGTGTGTGTGTGTGTGTGTGTGTGTTAGGATGTGGGATGTGATACAGTTACTTAAAACTGCAATAGTTTGGTTTCCAACTGTGGCAATTAAAGAAAATTGAAGGAGCTGGGTATGTTTAGTCTGGAAAAGTAGAGACTGAGAGGAGGTATGATAGTCATCTTCAAATATCTCAAGGGTTGAAACATGCAATATGGAGCAAGCTTCTTTTCTCCTGCTCCAGAGGCTAGGACTCGAACCAATGGCTTCAAGTTACAAGAAAGGAGATTCCAACTAAACATCAAGAAGAACTTTCTGTCAGTAAGAGCTGTTCGACAGTGGACTCCCTCAGAAGGTTGTGGACTCTCCTTCCTTGGAGGTTGTTAAGCAGTGGTTGGATGGCCATCTGTCATGGGTGCTTTAGTTGGTATTCCTGCATTGCAGGGGGTTGGAATAGATGACCCTCATCGTCCCTTCTAACACTACAATTCTATGATTCTATGAAAAGTGTTTTTAAATGCTTGCTTGTTTACATCCTATTACTAGGAGCCAAAGAGAAACATTAGGACCAGCACCATGGACAGTGGAATGTGAAAACAAAACATATCAAGGTGGCTACTGGACGAAGAGTTTTAAGTACTGGCCATTGATTGTTCCTCACTGTAACTTGCATAAGTTTCCATGCTTTGGCAAATATATCCACCTATCTACCATCAATCAATGTTTACTCATTGACAGGGATAAGAGTGTCAGTTTCACATTAAAACACCTAGAATGGAAGTACCTCAAGACCAAATGAGCAGATTGCGTAATAGCTCACTGAAATCTATCTTTAACAGGTTCTAATAATGTCTAAGCTAAAGAAGGGCAAGTCTAAAGGAGGCTAATGCTGAGATCACCAGGACAGCAGATGAGCAGATGTGGCCCTCCTTTACTGCATTCTGCCTCTCTACTCCATATACTGACTGTCCAACACACAAAGCTGATGGCTGAATTAAGTGGCAGTCACCCCCTTAATTTACTTGGGCCTTAATCTGTACCAAGCTTATTTAATAGTCTAACACTAAACAGATGAGAAAACAATATTTTTATAGTGGTGTACAAGGTCAAAAGGGACGCGGGTGGCGCTGTGGGTAAAAGCCTCAGCGCCTAGGGCTTGCCGATCGAAAGGTCGGCGGTTCGAATCCCCGCGGTGGGGTGCGCTCCCATTGTTCGGTCCCAGCGCCTGCCAACCTAGCAGTTCGAAAGCACCCCCGGGTGCAAGTAGATAAATAGGGACCGCTTACTAGCGGGAAGGTAAACGGCGTTTCCGTGTGTGGCTCTGGCTCGCCAGAGCAGCGATGTCACGCTGGCCACGTGACCCGGAAGTGTCTCCGGACAGCGCTGGCCCCCGGCCTCTTGAGTGAGATGGGCGCACAACCCTAGAGTCTGTCAAGACTGGCCCGTACGGGCAGGGGTACCTTTACCTTTACAAGGTCAAAAATCTCAATTTTACAGAATTTATTTACACACACCGGATGGCTGGCACACATCCCACTTGTACAGCATTGCAACAGTTATCCACCCTCTGGTAATATCCTAGTAGTATTATTGCAATGAATTGTATGTTGGGCTGCCTTCAAAATGGTGCAGAAACTCCACTTGGCCCAAATAACAGTGACTGGCAGATATTAGCATATTACATCATATGAAGCAGCCTCTGGTTTTAGCCATGGTTCCCGACTGGTCAATAGGGAGGGTATGCATCTGGGGAACAGTGAGCTGCTAAAGAAGGCACTACAGGACAGTGAGCTGTGCATCCGAATGGCACTGACTAAACCAACTCTGATTCTGTCACCACACTTGAAACCTGTCAGGAAGGACATCGGTTGTCCCTACACCTTGGTCCTGCTCAGTAGTGACAGCTGAGTAATACTTCCCACTCCACCTCTGTTGATTACATCAAGTCAGCGGTGGAGTACGCTCCTATGGCGCCTGAGGTAGGTGCCCTAACCAGGCACTCTTCAGTCTCAGGCTTCAATCCCAAGCAAGTCTGAGATCGCTGTTGTGTCCTTCTCTTGCGCTCTCCCTGAGAGGCTTTGAGAGGAGTGCTTCCATGGTGGGGTGCGGAGAGTCAACAGATCCCGCTGCGCCAGCCCAGCCCTGATGAATGAAGCAACACCAGCTGCTGGAGTAACACCACTTGGTGATGGTATTGCCTTTTGCAGCAAGGGCTGGCCTGGGGCAGTGGGATCTGTTCACCCTTCAGAGCCAGTGTGGTGTAGTGGTTAAGAGCGGTAGACTCGTAATCTGGGGAGCCGGGTTCGCGTCTCCGCTCCTCCACATGCAGCTGATGGGTGACCTTGGGCTAGTCACACTTCTTTGAAGTCTCTCGGCCCCACTCACCTCACAGAGTGTTTGTTGTGGAGGAGGAAGGGAAAGGAGAATGTTAGCCGCTTTGAGACTCCTTCGGGTAGTGATAAAGTGGGATATCAAATTCAAACTCTTCTTCTTCACGCTCCGTCATGGAAACACTCCTCGCAAAGCCACCAGAGTGGGAAGTGCATAGGAAGGACACAACAGCTATGCGCCCTTGATCCTAGCCTTCTCATGCTGCCCTCCCCAAGCGGCTTTGCGAGGCAGGGATGATCAGATCTCAGCCTCACAAAGCAGCCCAGGCCTGGCTCAGGGATGGCGGCATTAGCTGTGCCTTCCCTGCCCCTGCAAATGCACCCAGGGGCAATTGCCCTAGAAGCTCCTACAGACTCTACGTCCCCTGCATCAAGGTTGCTATGGATTTGCTTTCTAATGGGAAGGAAGGTACAGTATAGACACTTAAATGAATTACATGGTCTTGTGCAGAAATTCCATTGTCTTACTTCAGCTTCTACTTTTTCCCTACATATGGGAGAAATAAAACAATGATGTACATTTTAGGCATATTTGAAATGCAATTCGAGGAGTAAGTATACATTTAATTCACTTCAGTATTAGCCTGCTTTCTCTGGTGGGTCCCCCACCCCTCCCTCAAACACTTCTGCATCAAAATATTGTTAAATTCTCCTGTCTCCTTTTTACCTTCTTCACTTTCTAAAAATGTTCGCCAATGTTTATCTGTTGTAAAGCATGGCATTATATATGTTATGCATTAAATGTTTTGTGTAGCTATCATTATTTCCTGGGTGATATTTGTTTAATAAATTGTTTATAAAATGTTTAAAAAGTGATTGCCTAATCTGTCATAAAGCCCAAATCTCTTACTGAAGCTTTGCAGTCTGGGGATTAGCATCTTTCTGTGGATTCACTCAAGTATAACAGTATAAGCTTTCTTACTGACATATTTGGGAATAGTTTGAGTAGTTCTACAGAAAGGCACAGTTGGGGAAAGAGTTATTTATACATCAATTTAAAATGTTTTTAAAGCATTTTTATAGTAGAATTGGCAGGAGGGTCAGCCCAAGATATTCTAGCGCCAGAGGAGACCCACAGATGGCACCCCTACCAGTTTAGTGGTATCTTTGTATAACACCTACGCAACACAGACTCTCACCCTGGCCCACTATACAGGGTTGTTGTGTGGACTGCTTGTGCATTCCACTTTGAAACTTCCTGTCTAAAGCACTAAAGGGATCCCCTGCCATGGATATTTTATGGCAAGTTTTGAGACTGGGAATGAGCAAAGTTGGCACCAGTTGGCAAAACAAGCAAGATCCCTCTGGTGTCCTTTAAATAAATACTCATGTTTTCCTCCACGTCAGAGAGTCCAGTCCAGCCACTGTGGTATAGTGGTAAGGAACTGGGAGACCAGGGCTGAAATTCACCACTTGGCCAGGAAGCACTCACTGGGTGACCTTGACCCAGACACTGCCTCTCAGCCTGACCTACCTCACGGGGCTGTTCTGGCGATTAAATGAGAAGGGAGGTAGAACTGCATATGCCACTTTGTGCTCCCTGGAGAAAAAGGTGGAACAGAACTGCAATCAATCCATCAATTCTCAAAAAGGATATCTGCAGACGCCCCTCCTCACTGAGCAGCATAAATCCAGCTGAGGAGGTGGATTTAGTTTCTCCAGCCCCTGCTTTGAGATTTTAGAAGGCAAAAAAGAGCCTGACCAGGTCAACCCCTCTACACACACACACACACACACACACACACACACGTACAAACGGACAGGGCTCTTTTCATCTCAAAGAAAAGCCAAGGACAGCTCTTCTCCAGTTTTGCCAAGAAATAAATAAATAAATAAATAAATAAATAAATAAAAACAAATGAAGAGCTCTTCCTCCCCCTCCACCTCAGGCTTTTCTCCATGCAACATGGCAACACACCCAGGTGCCCCACAAAGACTGGGCATGAAGCCCCAAGAAGGAAAAACTGTGTCATCCAAAGAAAGCAATATGAGGCTAAATATTGCAACCAGATCCTATAGATTTGGGGAGGAGTGTTGTGGGACTCTGCACAGAGAAAGCAGACTTCTTCTTTTTTTTTTAAGGGGGCACATGCACACACAGGCTCTTTTACCAGTAAGTAAATCTGCTTCCCCCTTCCTCAAATCTAATGGCTTGGGTGCTTTAAGGAGCCTGCAACAGAAATGCAGCTACCGGTACATTGAGCAGAGTAGCCTGGGATGCCGAGAAGGGAGGTGGTGGAAGGTTCTCCCCTTCTCTCTCTCCTCTCCAGTCCCCAACTTATACACAACATGTAAATACTTCTCCACATCTCTGCCAAAGTTGCCCACTACCACTGTATCTCCTCCTTGACTGCTGTAGATATCAGCCTCCCTTGCTTGGCTTCCCTGCCAAAGAACTCAAGCAGCAGGTTTCCCTTTGAGAGCAGAACACGCCTCTCTAGGAACCAGAGCTCGGTTTATTTAAGTGGCTGATGTGACTTACATCTTTTTATTATTTTTATTTTAAAAAAATCAGCATATAATACCAAGGGGGGGAAAGATAAATTCATATAAAGCAATGGCTTTCCATACAACATGCACAGCTCCCACCCCAGTACAATCAAATGAAGGTTTGGCAGCACACCAACAGGAAAACTCCTCATCCAGCCAGCTACTACCACCACTTCCTACGGCAGGGGCTCAAAGAGGGCAAGGCAGAGGCTGTTTCAGGGTTCTCCTCCATGCTTCTGGGGTGGGGGGAAGCAACTGCTTCACTCAGCCTAATCAGTGGGTTTAGACCTGATTAGCAGAGACAGCGGGGAGGGACTTGAGACAGGAGGAAGATGTTGAGTAAACAGAGCTGGGGAGCAAACTGTCAGTATCTCAGCTCACAGTCAGAGGTAACTGGCCTCCCCGAGGCAAGCTGAGTGAGATACTTGTTTTACCTTCCGTCTGCGTCTCCCGGCAGACTAGGTCGTAAGGAGAACACACCCTCTGTTTCTCTCTTCCAGCTTCCCCCCCCCCCCAGGGAGGGGAAATGAGACAGACAGGAATCTATTTACATGTCTTTTTATTCCTGTCATTCAGCAGTACATTGAAACGTGACTGCACCCTTCAGACTCCATCAGAAGAGTCACCACTCCGCCCCTGTACTTCCAGCACAGGTCAGATGATACACTGAGCTAACATCCGGTGCTCAGTACAGAGAATGGACTGCCCCTTTTTCCCAGCAGTACATCTGCAGACAACAACATCCTGTTTTGCTTTCCAGCACCTGCTGCTGGCTTATGCATTGGTGCTTTTATCCAACACTTGTCTGTGTGTCTGAGGCCACCACTCATTTTTCAGGGCATCAACCCACTATGGTTCAGCCGTAAACAATATTTGTGAAATATTAAAATGCCACAGAAGAACAGCTATCTCCTATATGACCCACAACAAAGCTACAGGTACTACTACTACTACTTTTATTAGGTAGTTTCTCAAGAAAGCCCTCATACCACATCATCCCAGTAGTTTTGTCCCCACCCTGACAATAGCATGGCGCTGATAACACACCCCAGCCTTCCCTCCTTCGCCACTTTTATAACACTTGTTCTGAACTGACAGTGCATACCAGTCGTCTCTTGTGGTTATCGGGTTTTCTATCAGCATCAGCTTCTTCTGGATGAAAAGTTTCCATGATTAGCTTTCTGAATGTCAATCGCTTGCTGTACTCTGAATGCAGACTTGTTCATCACTTAGTAATAACATTCCCTGCTGAACTGAAAATGTGTCCTGAATAAATGCTGGGAAGAGAGCAGCTTAACCACTTGACAACACTGGTAGACTACATTTTCATTTCAGGAATGAGAATGTGAAATATATTTGTAGACTTCTGGTAAAAAAGAGAGATACTGATAGCATCATGGTAATGATCCTTTGGCTCATACAACAAACTACAACTCTGTATTATACTGCTCTGTATGCAATTAATGGATGATATGAGGTACAGATGAAACTGGGGGTGGGAGAGTGAAATGGGGATCAGAATAGCCAAGCTATACAACCTCTCTGTGTTCTAATTTAAAAGATTAACCTGCGCATGTCTTTTGGTGCTATGTGAGTCAATTGATTCAAGCAGCAGTGCAGGCACCCTAAGTTGTGTGTCTTTTGATGCCATGCTGCCCTGTAGACCATTTGCTTTACAATCTTATAAAAAGAAATGTGCCTAGACATATTGTTGTGGCGACCACAGCCTAGATTTAAGGTGCCATTTGGCTCCTAGATTTTATATCTCAGTTTCAAACACTGACAACATCAGTCATTTTTACTGTTTTATTGTTGTTAGCCGCCCTGAGCCCGGCTTCGGCTGGGGAGGGCGGGATATAAATAAAAATTATTATTATTATTATTATTATTATTATTATTATTATTATTATTATTATTATTATTTTGTTTCTGCTCCCTCATTCTTTTTTCCTGTAGTGACAAACTTTACTTCTGCTTTAGGCTTTAAGTATTGAACAAATTCTTGTCCCACTTGGATTACAGCTTTACCTGATATTAAATTTTGCATTTGGAAGTCCCTTGAGAGAAAATGAGACAGTCAAACACAGCCTGAGCTTACAGCTGGCATTTCCCCATAGGAAATAGTGGTAAGCTGTTAAAAAAAAGACCAAAAATATATATTTAATTGATCAGTTCCTGTGGCTGACAGCATACAATGTTTTGAATTACAGGCCAACAATTATTATAAAATACAATCTTTCTTTTGGGAGCTGAGAAGTAAATTTGTTCTAATTTTCTCTGACACAGGAGTTCTGTGCAACTCAAAAGCATATATTATCATAACTTACTACAGAAAGAAAGATGCTATCTCCTCACCTACTTTTTATTTCTGGAAAGGCAGAATGACTGAACCCAGTCACAAACTTAACACCATTCAAAAATAGTGGGGTGGGGGACAGATTATATAAGAAATTAAGAGGAAATGGATGCCTTCTTCATTCAGAAACAATCAGTAAAAGAATGTGCAAGGGAATAACCAAATGATAAGCTTAGAATATACTCCTAATCTTCCTGCTGATTAATTAAGTCTCCTCTCTCTCTATTCATGTCAGATCTAATAACACAAAATAAATCTCCATAAACTGAAATGCGCCTTTTCTCCTCCTCTCATTTTGCTATGCAATCACTATTTCTAATAACTAATCTGTAAATTATTAAATCAATTTATGGAGTCTGAATTCACTGAGCGAAGTCAATAAGCTACATTGTCAGATGTAAACAGTTAACATTAACTGAGGTTGGAGAGTCAAGAAAGTGAGTTACTGGAAACCACACACATTCACTCTTACACATGATGCGCTTTGCTTTTCCATGGGCAAAAGTTGGATTCAGTAAAATAAAAATAAAAATGATCCTCTTGAATTTGCAATGCTTTATATGGGATCTCCCCCCTTCCCCATGACCACCAAATTGAAGACTACAGTAGTAGAGTACACAGAAAGACAAAGCCATTGATCCAAAGCATTAATCCTATCTTCTTGATCATTCTACTTTTTGTTAAGCTACCCAGGTGCCAACCCAAGCACATAGAAAGCACATAGAGGTGAAATGCCTTGGGCCATCTGTCTTCTCAATGCTGGACCAACTGAACATGAGAAGGGATTAATTTCCTTCATGAGTGTAAATCACCATGGATGAGCTAATCGTAAGTGAAAGGGCAGCTAAGCCAATTGTTATGGTAACAGCCCAGTGCCCCAACTGTATCTGTGATTAATGTGTATCAGCTCAGTAGTTAGTCTATTTGTCTGCAGTTTGTCTGTTTATTAGTCAGTTAGCCAGTCGGTGTTACTTGCCTAGTGTTACGTTTTGATTTGCTGAACTTATTTAGAGCAATGGAGGTACTTTGTACTATGCATCTGTAGATATCTGTATCTGCAGAAGTCTACAAGCTGTATTTATCTACATCCAGAACTGTTTAACTAAGCCTTATCTTCTGCAACAGTAAGCTATCTGAACCTCTGCTTCTATATGATGAATGATACTGGGAGCAACTTCCACTGCATTGGTACCTTACCTGAATTTGCCAACTGCCGTTACATATGCCAGTATCACAAGGTTATAGGAGAGGCCCTAACCTGGTGCAAATGCTCAGGAAAAACAGGATACAACCACTCCCAAAAATGTAAGGAGCTCCTACACTAAGGCACAATAGTCCATCAGAAAAAGTACTGATAGCCCCTTTGGTCCAGCCACCCCCCTAGCAACCTATGTGACCAACACTCCCCCCAACTCACTCCCCCCTTTAATTCCAATGCTGAACTTCACTCCCCTGTTCAGATCATGGTGTTGATTTTGAATCCCCCCCCCCAGTGGCTGGGGGCATCATTTAGTGGCTCTCCAAGGTACCAAAATGTCTTGGGCTGGCCCTGCCCTGAACATTGGCCATGCTGACTGCAGCTGATAGGAGTTGGAGGTCCAGAAATATCCAGAGGGCACCACGTGGGCTACTGCACATACCAGTTTTACATAGGTAAAAACCAGTCTCTCCTACAATCTCCATGCATGTGAGCC